GTTGGGTTGATGGTTGGACTCGATGATCTTAGAGGTCTTTTCCAACCTCAATGATTCTATGATTCTAAGGCACACAAGGGTAAAACAAAACTAAAACAAAAAAACCCTTTGAACTTGAAGGTCTCAGTCCCAGTAAGAGTACTTACAAACACATACTTTATTGGCTTTGGTTCTCTAAAGGTCTATACGTAGTCTAAACCGCTAACACTGTGTTTAAGTAAATGAGACAGACTATACTCCACTGTCTTCCGATTAGATAATAATATAAATAATAGTAAAATACTCTGTTATCATACAGGTGTTAACGCACATGATCATACTTATTACACCTTATTGCTTCAGTCTCTGCGCATCAGAGCTCAGCAACTTACTAATCGGAGTATTGCTCTGTACAATGCTTGGTAACCACACTGAGTGTAGGCTGACAATATCGTTTTATACAACTACTTCCTTTCCTAAGAGTACCCATTTTAAAGGCTTTGGCTCTGAAGGAAAGTTCGGCAGAATGCCACGTACCTAAGAATAATTTTGTAAGGTCTGCTACCTTATAAAAGGTGTGTCTGGGAACAGGAGTGGGAATGATGGGAGAGGATGGGATTGCCTCTGACATCTGGAGACTCTTTGGTATCCGCACCCTAAAGGTGTGGTTCCACTGCAACATATGCTGACTTAACCGCTGCTTTATGTGTTTGTGCCATTCCTCCCTATCCTGGACTGCGTGTTTCTGTCCCCTTGCTCATTCTGGCTCTGGCAGTTTTCCAGTTGTCCCTAATTCTTTTTGCTAAACTGATCATTGTTTTGTTGGAGCAGTTTTCTACTAGTTTAGCACAGTGCAATACCGAAGTGCAGTGTCAGATGAATGTGAGAACAGCTGCAAGGGAGAAGATGAAACATGGGGAGAAGGGATGGGACTCCATCAACTAGCAATTTAGGTTGGCATGCCATAGCCTAACTTACTGAAATTACTCCTCATCAAAAATACTTGTTACAGAATTGTGGCTTATTCCTTATAAAAAAATACTTTTTATAGAACTGCAGCAAAAGAATTCTGACAGATGGTTTTAAATTTATGTGGTTATCAGGTGGAAACAGAGGTACCTATAAAAGATGATTTCTAACTCACTTTTCTTGTCGCTTGATTCGATACATTAATTTTTTATATGCCACAATCATTTTTATTGATGCCTACTCTGAAAATAATTTATACTTAAAAAAATGCTCTTTCTCCACAGTGCCTAATGTTTTTGCAATACTGTGTGGTAATTACGCAAAAAAAGGTAAATCAGATGAACCTGTCAGATTCCCAATAAAGAAGTTGAGCACCAGAGAGTATTGTTCTTGGGTTCCCCCCCCCGCCCCCCAATTTTTTTTTTTTTAAAATCGTTCTTTCATTATGGCTGAGTACCATTCCACCTTGTATTATGTTCTATTTCAAGCAAGTATTCCTGTTAAACATTGAAGCAGATTTGTTACAGACTTCAGGATAGGTATCATCTCCAGGCAATGACATATCACTGTGTCGCTGAGTACAACATAAAAAGCCAATGTCTGCATTAGCAATCAGTGCAATGAAATAGGAATGGATCGACAAGTAAAACAATTGGGTTAGCGAGGACCCAATGTACACACTGAACGCATTGCAGGAGTTTTTACTTCTGACCAGCTTCCATCTTGCCCTGTGGACTGCATGTCCATCAGCTGCTGGATTACACTGGCTGAGCTTCTGGTGTACATCTTTGAGTTTAACTTTATCTGAAAGGAGTCTAGCTTGCATGCTTTGAGACTCTTACATGATACAAGCCAAAGCATTTTAAGGGGACAATCAGGAGATTCACTTCAAAAACACACTCCTGATCTGATTTAAAGTACTAAAATAAATGCACCCGAAGCTACAGTGGCCATCAAAAGAACACACTGGGACATGCAGCTATCCAGATTTCATCTTATACCTGAATATGAGGTTGGTTTCAGCTCACTCTTTCCTGGAAATTAGGTTTATCCTTCAGACTTACAGTAATTCAGCTTTCAGGTGAGCAAATTCCACAAAGTCCCCTGCATATAATCCTTGTGTTAGGGAAAGTCCAATTCATGATTTTAAACTGACAATAGTGTATAGCAGTTTTAAGCAAACACTTTTATTTCTGAACTTATCAACTTCATCCACAGCATAAACAAAAGAAATCCTTTAAGTAGTTTCAAAAGACTGGACTTCAGTAACTGGAACAAAGTTATTAAGTAGTCACATCCCTGAACTTAGGACAATTACTGCCCACAAATCAGGTTTGTGAAACAGACACAGTAGGAGTTGATACGTAACACAAATTCACTAGACTGTATGAGCTATTGATTTATTGTAAAATAATGTTAAATAAACACTTATTTTGCAATGACTTCATACACCTTTATCCTAAGACGACCTTGGGAAAAAGAAAAAGGAGGACCCCAGCTCTACCTATGAACATCCAAAAGGATTCATTCTTCTTTCTGTGTGCAATGCAGCTCCCCCCAAAAAGACAGTGAAACTGCTCCATAATTAGATTACTCCAAACTGTTGACAGTTTTCAGCACAGTAATGGGGACCAGTAGTAGTAGTAGTAATAGAAACTATTTTGCCAGACCAGCAGATTAGAAATATTTATTAATAGGTATATTGCATTGTATGCAGTTTCATCACCTGTAGATTTTAGGGAGAACTTACTGAACTTAAGTTTTCTAACATAAAGAATATTAAAAAAACCCCTGAAAACCAACACCCCCCCCTGCCCAACAAGAGTAGCATTTGCTTACCATGAAATGAGGTTGTGTTAAAATACGCTTTAGCTCCTTTGCATCATTGTTCTCTGGGTAACATGAAATTTCTTCCAATACCTGCAAAACAAGTAGGAGAAATGCCCATAGTAACTTTCTTTTAAATAAAGCTATTAATCAAAGAAATGAAAACCCTCACTGGTCAGTCAGAATATCTCCAAATGATTATAGAAAATAATGTTTTTGACAGGAAAAGGCTTAGGAAAATGTGCCCCCTAACCCCCACCCCCAAGTCCAAGAGAATAAAATACCTAATTTCAATTTTCTTTCTGAGAGAGATTAAAGCAGAAATTTGAAGGAAACAGTTGCTCTTTTTTCAATTGACAGTATTCCTCCAACAGCTAAATATATGGAGACAGAAATGAAGCGCTAACTTATAGGTGACACACACCACCACCACCACTTGCTACTTTCACACATGGTCTCAACTTATTAAAACAATCAGTTTAAAAGCAGAATTAAAAATACTCATAAAACCTTCTCTCCAGAAATTAAACTGTTAAAGACATCAAGTGTAGGTGGGCCATCTGCTACCCCACCTCCAAGCTCCAGATTTTATAAAATCTGAGCCATACTTCAGCTTATCACTGGGGGAAGGAGGAGGCAGGAGGCATTTGGCTGCCACCTGATACTTTCACCTTTAATTTCCACATGCAACTACTTGGACAACGAAAGCAGAGTATTTTGCTTCTGGAAGCACCTCCCAGGATTAACTGCCAGGAAATTTTGCAGAATAGGACTTCGGGGTGTCTATCAGTGTGACTGCAGTTATTACACAGTGTTTTAGTCTTCCTGTTCATTCTATTTTTAATAGCACTATAAACAATGTTTTCCTATGACATTACCCGCAACAACTGTACTTATTTTTACTGATAGTATATTAATACTATGCTTTGTTTACTACTTGCAATAAATAAACAAATAAAATACTATTTGCCAGGTATAAGAATTAAGAACATCTGAGTCTATCTATCTTTCATCTTAATGGGCCACCTTCATTGTATTTCTAGGTCTGCTCTTCTTAGAACTATCTATGATAAACTTGTTTTTTCAATTTAAAAAGCTGATACCTAAAAACATATCTTTTTTTGTGACTAAGTAATATATAAACTGAACATGGAAGATACTGCATTTGCCAAACAGGAGCGTTCCTTTTAAGACCGCTATTGTTGCAGCAAAGGTTAAATGATGAAACTGAGTAATACATATAATCCTTACAGACATAATGGAATTCTGCAAGGTTATGCAACATGTTATGTAACTTAAGCAAGCAACGGTAGAATTCCAGAAATAATTCAGATTATGGGCCAGAATACATATCAGTATCTTAATGAAGAAAAAAAAGTTCCACTTTAAATACAATCAAACTTTCAAAGTAAAAAATATATTTTAAAGCCATTACCTCTTTGGCTCTCTGTACAGCATCACTTGGAGGATTCCTGATTTGTGGTGAAGATTTTGTGTTTATTTTGTCATAAAGCTGAAATAACAAGAAAACAAACTACTGAAATCATATGCTACTTTATATAACGTAATGATGAGGGCTAACAATAGCCTGCTTATGTTACCATGATTAAGACGACTGTTAAACTGCAAGTCCCACAGATGTTTTGTGTACAAAATCTAGCAGCTTTGGGTTTTGGCTTTTCATTTTTAAACATTTCCTGATTTGAACGGTGCCATAGATTCAGAGTTCATAGGATGACATGGGAAAGTTCAGGAGGTTAAGGGATTCTGCAAGCCTCCCATGCTTTTTCTACAGATTTACAGAAACTATATTCTTCTACTAGAAGTGATCCTATGAATCTTGAATAAATGCTGTAAATGATACATGCTGCTATAAAATCAAATCAAATTGATCTGCATATCCCACTTTTCTCAATAAATCAATCATCAGACATTCCAAACAGTAATTGAAATAAACCTCAGAATATGGGAAAATGCTCTTGAAGACAGAAAGCTACAAAAGCCTAAGTCTTTGGAGAAGAGAAAACCAAATCCTTCCAAGAAAAGAGGGCTCACAAAAACCGAGTACCCTTATTTTACTAGGATTTTCTATTGGATTTTCTTTTTGACAGAAGAATGCCAATGTATTTAAATAGGAAATTGTAAACCTTCCAGGTTAATTATTTTTTTAAAAAACTTTTAAAACCCCCTCAACTATGCAAAACACAACAGGAGAGACATCTATCTTCAATTTCAAATTAGAGATAGATATTACAGGCTCTCTTTCATACAAACCTAAAAGATTGTGCACGTTTTAAAGAAATAAATGTATACTTAAGAATAAAAAGGCACTGTAATAAGTACTATTTTAAAATAAAAAACCTTTTGGCTTACATTTCAAACAATATAAAGATGGTCGTGCCTGTAATTAATTCTATTTATGTTAGACTACTTCTTTGAAATATAAGACAGAAAAAAGATACAAATAGCTATTTTTAGGATATTAGAGAAATTGTTATCACAGTGAGTGTGGTGAAACACTGCAACAAGTTGCCCAGGGAAATTGTGGAATCTCTCAATTTTGGAAATACTCAAAATTCAACTGAAATTCAAAATAGTGTGTGTAAACAAACATTCAAAATACACAAGGGACTCTAACACCTTCAGCAAATCCTGACACTGTAAAGGATGAGTGGATAAGAACCGCCCGTTTAGACTGCTCAGCAAGGAGTTCTCTTCCTCTGAGAAGCTCACAGCTCCATCATTTGGCTGAGGACGGCCTTGGATGTTTGAAAAACGGAATCTTGTGAAGCTACAGAAGTGCCCTCTTCTCTTTCTCACATGAAATACCATTCAGTTTTAGAAGAGATGTAAATTGCAATAAATGCAATCCAATATCATCATCATTTTCCTTGTGTTCCTTAACAATCTAATGCACATGTTGAACAGTTCAAGTCCATACACAAATAAATACAAGAAGAAGAAACAATGTCACTTCCAAAAAACATTGCCTGCAGGACAGTTATACCACTGTGCTGGGGAAAGAAAAGTAGAAAAGTTAAGCTAAATCAGTTTCTTCCACATCTAACAACTTCACCTTGTCCTGGCAAAACACTGCTATACTCAACAGTTTAAGCAGCCTTGACCACTGCTGAAGTTTTTAAAATAAAAGCTTTCTGCTAGCTTATAGTTCAGGAGATACTTTTGTTGCATACACATTTATTTGTTTTTACCTTTTCTTAAATAACTAAACAAAACCCACCCAAACTCCAGCAACCCCAAATTATTAAGTATCACATTTATACACCTGTTAAGAAACTGCAACAAGCACTGTGTACTGAGTAAAGCGCAGTAGGAGCCACTGAAAATGCATGACCCCAACATGAATATTATTGAATGTATTTTTCTAAAAGAGTCACACACACATCCTGTTTAAGATTAATGAAATTACAGAAAAGTTCGCATGAAACTATTTTTATTAGTTATTTCGAGCAATTGTTTAAAAGCTAAGTTGCTGACGTTGCTGATTTCACTCAAGTCGCTACGTTACTGTGATCCAAAACAACCGGCAGTTTACAGAAACAGTTTTTTCTCACTATCATGGGAGAGGATAAGTTATCCTCTGAGACTAGGAAGGAGGCAAAAAGGAAAGTAGGAAGCAAAGTGCCTCTAAGAATGTTTAGAAAAAAATCAAGGCAAAGTTCAGACTAAACAAGGGTGCGTTTATTTTTCCGTAGCGCCTTCGTGCTGAGGCATGGCACTTAAATTTCATCTTCCAGGAGCGCTACTTACTGAGATTTGCTTCCAAGGCACCAAACCATCAGGAGGGACTCTGACAGTACTTAAAAGAAAAACCTTCAAATTTGCATTAAGGCTTAAAGCCTATATATTACCAAAGCCACGGGATCCATTCATTGTTTCTGGGAGCAGAAGACAGTCTCAACTAGAGAAAGGATGTATTTTTGATAGCTTCACTAGCAAGAGCAGATCTCTTCTAGAGAATCTTATTGGGTACTCTACCTCTAAAGCTCATTACAGTGGAAGGCACTCATTCCAGTGTCTAATGGAAACACTATGCGAACAGCCTACACCACATTACATTTTTACCATGAGTATAATGTGTTTTTCTCTAAAATTCTGTTCAACCTTAACACTAAAAAGCAAGAAGCAAACAAAACCCACAATAAATCTGAAAAGAAACTTGAACCTCTCCAAGTTGAAATGCATTTTTAAATGGTAAATTCCTAATTAAACCCAGGGACATTTCATGAAGGTATACTGATTTAAGAAAAAAAGAAATACACTTTTTCATTTGTTTAACAGGGTTAACCATCACTTTAACCTCTGCATGCAAGGAAGAAGAAAAGCAGATTTTCTGCCCAAATAAAAGATCATACATCTAAGAACAAAGAATACAAGTAATACTTAAAAGAGGAGGAACTATCTTGGCAGGGGGAAGGGGGAATCTCAGGCAGCCAGAAAGCATAAAGCCAGCTACGTTTTAGTTTCTCCCAGGGGAGGCTACAGCCAAATGCCATACCATAATGAGAATATCAATTAAGAAATAAGATTGTTATCTGTGTTTGTGGCGTGCCCACAATAGATCACTGTTCAGTTCTACGTTCGAAACACAGGAAAGATGTCAAGAGGCAGAGAGGGCTCAGAAAAAGCTTTCCAAAAAGATCAATCATCTCTCCCCCCTAGTATATTATAAAATGCTTAAAGACGACAGAAGTTTGATAATATAAGGGAATTCAGTTTAAATGACAAAACTATCACATGATCTGAGTAAAAGGAAGTAGTCAGGACAAATTCAGAGTAGAATTAAAGCACAAATATCAACATTGCAGGTAATTAAGGGTGTAATTGATTTACTCTCTTGGGAATTTTTAAAAATCAGAAACAGACATTTTTGAAATGGTATACTCTAATTCAAGTTAGTTCATGGACTTTTTTGCTTAGAAGGGGACCAGGCTACATAATTGCTTCTCCTAGCCACATATTCCATAAACAACAGATTAAGCTTTAAAATTTCAGTGTAAATAATTTATTTTGTAATTTGTCTGAAAATTATATCTGTATCAATAAAACTGGTGTTTTATGAATTATCCTAAAGGGAGCCAATAGCAGTAGTGAAAGATTTATTTTTGTATGTGAAGTCAAAGAAGATTTCCACATGAGAAAATCCAAATGACATAAAGAAAAATGTAGTTTGTCAATTCCTATACAGTATTTTTTTAAACACACTGTAGATGTTCAGCTAGTTGTTACTATCTCTGTGCTCTGAATTACTTTTAAAACAGGATCTGTCCGTGGCTTTCATCATGTCAAGGTTTCGTTGTCTTTTTATAGATGGGCCACAAACTCTTCGGTTTTAATTGTGGTTCTTGAAATGATGGTGAACACTGTCTTGACCTAAAACTGTTTTTAATCCCTTTTTAACAACAAAACAGCTGTACTTATTACTGACAATTCATGTTAGCAACAGAAAAATTTCCTAGTGGAGACAATCAGTATTGTTGCCAAACTGTCTATTTTCACATCTCATCTAGAAACAACCTTTTGTTCAGGCCACGCAATTTCTCTCTTGTAACACTAAATTATTTTGGAGAGTAGTGGCACAAATTACAATACACAAGACAAATGCAATTATTACACACTGAAGACAGTAAAATTACAAGACTGTTTTCAAATCTATAAATACATACACAGCAATACCCTGTGAACCATTTATCTTGTTCAGGTTCATATGTCGTTATGTATTTCTAATGCACCCTAAGGAGAAATTAAAATAATATTATGTACAAGATTGTATCGGAAGTACTATTTCTACATTAACTGTTTATGCGGTCAAAGCAAAAATAAGAACATAAAACCAAGATACATATCTTTAAAAGCATGTCAAGTAATGATAAGTAAACCCAGAAACAAAGGAAGCATTAGTCCCTCTTAGTACTTGCTTTATATTTTAATTTTTTCAATATACCATTTCAACAATGCTTTCACAGAATTTTTTTGGACGTTAAAGAAAAAGTCTGGTTCTAAAGTGTCTCTTGTTTGGTAGGTACTTATATAAACAGAAGGACGAATCCAGAATATTATTTTGTATCTCTCATTTCCAATTTTAGTAACTATGTGTTCAGTCTGGACAGAATTTTTTAGCATTATGTTATTAAGCGTATTTCAAAAAACACATTAACTCTAACAATAATTAGTCTTTACTGGTTACAGAAGATGATTAGAAGCTTTCTGCCGGAACACAGCAGAAGCTGGTAACAGGAGTAAAGCTTATGCTATGCATTAATGCACCAGAACTGGTGAAGCAGTCCTACGTTCTTTGCAATCTTTGAAAAATGACTGTTTTGAAATATTTTTCAAATATTTTTGCCCTTAAACAATAGCTATAGCAGAAGCAATTTAGAAGAAGGAATTTACAGCTCCATAATTTGTCTCTGAAAGCATGTGAAGTTAGAGGTTTCATTTATACACATTAACAAGAACATCTGTTCCCTTGGACGTAAGAATCCAACACAT